AGGCTGACAATCAGTTTACATTTAAAGTGTTGCACAAAAAAGCCCAAGATGAAATAATGATATGGTAAAGTAATAGTTTACGAGATTTAAGATTATTAAAGAAAAGTTGGCGCTGTCATGATCAGTTAAAAAGCAATCTTTATTTCTCGACCAAACAGGACACTGTATTCTCTAACACCTGAATAACAGACTCAGACTGCCTTAATTCAATTCTTATCAGTTACTAAAGTTAGAATAGACTGGCACGACTTTAGGCACACGAGCAAAGTGGAAATGTAACAGCCCAATTGGTCACGGAACATTTCATAATTAGTTATAGATAATCATCAATAAGACCTGTATAATTAAATTCCTTACGGTTTATCAGTGTATATAAAAAACAGTATATATTATACAATTATAGCCTTTGTAGGAGGTCGATACAAGGATATATTGACCTGAAAGAAGTATATTGACTGAGGACGAAGTCCGAGGTCGATATACTTCTTTGGGTCGATATATCCTGTATTGACCTCATAAATAGGCTATAATTGTTATATTATTAATTTCCGACCATATTTGTATCAAAATCGTCATTTGATTTTGTTGTATTTCTATAGATATCATATTGTCTTCTAGACAATAACAACAGATTAGTTGTTATTTCATTTACTTTTTTGATGTTTTTTTTTTACATGTTATGTATTTGAAGATTTTTTTTCTTCAAATAATCGATCATAGATATTTTTTTATAAAACTTTTAACAATATCATGAAATTCATAACATGACGTCACAAAGTATATCGGTTTTTAGATATTCTAAAAATAACCGTGCAATATGCTTTTTGCCGTGCAATATGCTTTTTGCTATCCGCCGTTTTCTCTCTACCTTCGAAAATATAGTTTAACATGTGACTATCCCTGAACGAATCAAATTAGTTAAAATATACGAATTAATAATATATATACATATGACATATTCCTAACAATATTAAATAAATGTATATAAAGAACAATTTCCATAATTTTTATGTTTACACTACAAATATCTTCAGTTTATTATTTAAGATATTTTCGTAGGTAAGACTCAAATGTTTTTTTCAACAGACAATAATTGTATTAGACGCAGTTAAGTAACTGAACAGTAACCATTTTATTGCACCAGATGCGCATTTTGACAATTAGTCTCTTCAGCGATGCTCGAGGCCAACATTATTGAAAGTCCAAAACCTTAAACAAACGATGAAGAACTGATAAAACAAAAAAGGACCAAAAGTAAAGCCGAAACCGGACAACGAATCAAAGCTATGCATGATGGAGATTCATTCCTTAACTTAAAATGATTTCGAAATCTTATAAAGATTTAAAAAAAGGTCTCATAATTTAGGAGGAGGGGCCTCGGTGGCGAGTGGTCTAAGTAGTCGAACTACTGTATCACTAGCCTGTCAACACCGAAGGTCGGTTGTTCTCTCCGCGCACTCCGGCTTCCTCCAACAATAAAAACTGACCGCCAAGAAATAGCACAATAGTGCTGAAAGTGGCGTTAAACACCAATCAATCAATCAATCATAATTTAGGAGTTATTTAAAGAATAAAAACTTAAAAATAATTTTACTTAAGGTGATAAATTGTTTGTTCAGAAAACAAAATACACAAAAACAATTATTAAATTACTCCAAGGGAATATATAAAGGTTTTGTATTATATATTCCTAATTTTCTTTCCAGGAGAGAATTTTAAAACTATTCCATGCCAATTTGTTTCAATCACATGTATTCTTTGGTAAATTTTTCAAAAACTGCTTTGGCATATTGATAACTTCTATCATCAAAAAACTAAATAGATCCAATGTTTTCATATTTTGTTTTTTTTGGCATTTAAAGTTGTAATTATTATTATGTAGTGTCATTATCATTTTAATTACAGTCGGTGATCCTTTGGGATGAATGTACATCAGCAGTTTGAATCATTTGATGAAATCTTATCACTTAGACGAAGATGTACAGAATGCTGTTCTGGCAGTTACAAATCATTCCACTGTCCTTTTTGTTCCACATCTAAATTTAAACCGGCAAAAGAATGTAAACTTTTAAGCCATCTTGAGAGTCATTGGAAGAACCGACTAGCTGTAGGAAATGGTATGTATTGGCTGGTATATTCCGAACACATACTTCTTTAACGTACTTAATATATAGTTGAGATATATAAACCAAAGGTTCTAAATGGTAAAGCTGTTGTAATCTTTTTGGCAGTATTATAAACGCCATCATGACTGACTTGTTTTTTCTTTACAAAAAGAAAAAACTATAATACTAAAATGCAATAGCTGTACTAAGATTTCAACAACTTACACCAAACTTCCATCGTGTAATTCAAAAAGTTTAAACTATAATATAATAAAGGTCTTTCCTTTCCCAAAAATGCCTCAAGGTCAAATATTTAGGTTGACCTCGACCTTTGACCTTAAATCTTGTTATGGGATAATCTCAGAAACCGTTTTACTTACAGAAGTCATGAATAGTGGAAAATGTTGTGTCATTAAAGGGCAACTTTATTATATTTTGACCGAAGAGATTTGAACTTTCCTTAAGGGGCATAACTCTCAGTGACGGTGTGCGAAAAGACATTATTAGCCATAACTATGAAACCAAAGGTCTTAGACCAATGGGGTCTTTTGCAATGATATTTGGGACCAAATGACCTTGATAAAGGTCATAATGTCAAAGGTCAAGGTCATGTCCTTTTGTGTTTTTTAAGGATTTTATCTGGGTTTTTTTCAAAGCTTTTCAATAAGTCTATATGAATGTATATTTTACAATATGGAAAGGACAGACCTCTCAATTGTTCGCGAACAATTGACATTTTAATTGATTGAATATTTTGACTGAGAAAACTAATTCGTAGAACAAAACAGAAACAAAAAACGTTTAGGATACCAATTAATGTGCCTTGTGATGGTCATAACTTTAGGATAAAAATTTACCATTTCATCCATTAGAGTTTGTAGCTCGGCGTATGCGAAGTTATAAGTAAGTCTCTTGCTCATAATTACGCGATGTAGTTGCATAACTCCATATTTATATGAAAGATTCATGAGATTTGCCTTTGAACGATGCTATATATGGCAATTGATTTCAAGTAATTCGAAAACAACAAAAATATATTCTGATTTGTGAATATTTACACTTAATCGATGCAATTAACCAAAACAAAATTTTGCAGACAGAAATCAAGGAAACCACTGAATTACACGCACTTGACTTAGGACATGCACATACATAATATAGCGGGTTAAACATGTTTCTTAGCGCTCAACCCTCCCCTTAATCTGGAACAGTAGAATAACAGCACAACATATTAACACATTGTAAAATATGTTGGAAAGGGCTTGACTAGTCAGATCGACACAAAGCAGACAAAAAACCAGCTAACAAATAGAAAAAAGTCACAGAGCACTGATCTAACAGTACGCGCAGTTACTGAAAGCAAGTAAAAAAAGCTTAAATACGTAATTAACAGCCCAAGACAAACACTGCCTTATGCAATCACCAAATTTAAGTATCGACAGGATGTATAGAGATATAAGAAGATGTAGGCACATAAGTGTTCATAACTGTATACCAATACATTTTGAGTTATGTTTTAGTTTTTAGTTTTTTTTTTAAATCAATGTTGGTAAAAATAATTCCTGCCTTTTATATCACATAGAATCAATCATTTCTTATCTGAAACTCCTGTCATTTTTTGTCATTTTTTTTTTCAATTACATCACAATGCGACGAAATTTACTTATTTTTCTCACATCTTCAAATACAGCTTGGGTGTCCTGACTTTTTGACAGGATATACTTGTAATTATTACATCTAAATTTTCAGGTAAATATGTGGTTAAATGCAACCTTGAGCAGTGTTCAACTCTACAAACTGGACACTACCACTGTTCTAAATGTGATCGAATTATATCAAGAAAAGACGTAGCAGAAAGACATTTTAGGCGATGTACTTTGACTGTATTCCAAGTAACAGCCGAAACAGACCGTCATACAACAGAAACAGACGACAATGTAGCAGAAGCAGACGACCAGGTGACAGAACAGGGCGACCATGTAGCAGAAACAGACAACCATAACACAGGAACAGGCGACCATGTAGCCGAAACAGACGACCATGTAGCCGAAACAGAAGACCATGTAGCCGAAACAGACGACCATGTAGCAGAAACAGATCTCCATGGCGTCTGTGACATTACATTAGATGAGCATAATTATTAGTAAGTAGAAAATAAAACTGTATTAAAAGACAGGTGGGATTTACGCAAATGCGACAATACCTCAACAACAACTAATATACTACTTCCTCAGTGTATATTGACTTGTGTATTTTGAATTCGGATGCACTTAATATATATGTCTACTTGTAGATATGTTATATATGACATAATAATAATGTTATATTTAAAAATGCAAGATTGTAGCGAACGCACAACCCTATACTGTGTTTGGTTTTTTTCTACGTTATATAGTTAATGTTCCTTCCTCGTAAAGCGGCGGAGGACAAAATTGGAATAATTCATATACTTGTCCTGAATTTGCAAAACTCTAAGAAGGCTTGTCCGTAGGATCCTCCACATATTTTATACTAAAAAGATATTTAATTTTCAGCACATTCGACCAAGAACCTTCCAGAAATGAAACCCCAAAGGAAACATCAGTAACGAAGCAATGCCAAATATGTAAAAAGATTGTAACAAAAAGATGGTTTAAAAGTCATCTTAACTTGCATATGGATAAACAAAATGACATTAACCAGACCAGACATCATCATACTGTAATAGTTGACAAATATAACGGAGTGTTTGCCTCATCAAAGAACATTTCAGGCCCCTTCAATCCTGTCCACGTGGCCAAAATAACTAGTGGACATAATGCTGGTACATTTTGCGAGGACAAAAAATGTATAGAGGCTCAACAAATAGCAAAGCGTGGTCGCAACTACTCGTTTGAATGTCCTCATGCTAGATCAAGTCACTATGCAATTCAGCAATGTGAAGAAACTTTAAACGACGCTTCATTAGAGCAAATGGTGGAAGAAAAAATACTAACACAAGACCAAGGTCATATGGTACAACAACTACAAGAACAAGCTGTATCAGAACATTTCCCGTTCTTAGTCTTCTTAAGGAATCCTAATTCAGTTTCTAAATATTTATTTTTTTCTGTATATGCCGAAAGAAGGAGATACTGGTCAAAATTAAAGAGAACGATTGTTACATTTGATACAGTAAAAAAGACTTTATCATGTCGCTGTTCTTCAGGAAAGAGAACATGCGCTCACAAAACAGCTATCAAATGGTACTTATTTCAAGAGCACAAGGACATGTTAACATCTGAATTAACGGATCTAAGTGATGAAGAAAATGATAGTGAAAATGTAAGACTTACGCAAGAAGTAACACAAAACGAAAAAAGAAAACTAGATTACATTCAAAGGCACAAAAGGTATCCGGTGACGAAAAGCATAGACATTCCGCATCTTAATGATATAACAGAGATTATTCCATCAGAGAAAACATGCGTCCAATGCAGAGACAAGCTTACCAGAGTTGTTTTGGTGAATAGACATGGTAAAGCAGTATTGAAAAACAAAGTCATACATGGTAATTGGTTTATTTTAGTTTTTTTATGAGAAAAAAATGTTTTAGGTTAAGAACAGTGTTATTTTAAAAGCACAACATTCTTGCACTATTTCAACTAACTTCTGGATCCATTTCGTTCAGTTAAATTCCTATGTCATGCCCGTTGATAAACTATCCGTTTTTTAAGTTTTACAATTTACGTGGATGTAATTATAAAACTTCCGAATCGGTTCAATCCAAAATTTTATTGTTATTTAAACTTCGAAGTTTGTGACATTTACATACAAATCAAACTCGGCATAAAACTTAAATAAAAGTTTACACACTACAGTTGGCTGCTGCATAGGTTTAATTAATGTATCTAGTTCATGTAGATTGAATAAACTATTACCAGTACTTGCTAACTGCCTTCAGGAAAATTCACTGGATCTATTATACATTTCAGATATTTCAGTTTACAATAAAGTGTGCTCTAAATGCGGAATGGAGTATAGGTATCAAGAATGGAGTGACGGTCTTCACAATTACGATGATTCAACATTCATTGGGTTTGATGCTTGTCATCTAATTAGAGCTGGCTTACAGGTATAGCTAAAGATCTGTTCAAACGCATAAACATTGTCAACCGGTTTTGAGAGAATACCGCGTGACATATGTTTTAGCCAATACACCTGATTGCATTTTACACACTAAAAACAAATTGTTGTAATTAACGTTTTCCACAAAACAGGAAAAAATCACCCCACATCACATATAATGCCAAACATATCATGAATCACAATAAATAGAAATCTAAATATACATTATGATTTTTTTTCTTCGAAAAAACAACATTCCTGATGACTTAATATTTTATTGAATTTGTGCACTGTGCATGCATGCAATGAAACATTAGCGGATGTTTCGTTGTGTTAAATAAAACTTTTATTCACTGTTTTGTAGCGACAAAACGCATTTTTATGAACCCTTAATAGTATATTTACCAATTCCGTAATTGCTCCTGTATTCTGAAATTTATTTGTATGATCGAATATTTTGAGAATTTTACCTTTTCAAAAATATAATTCTAAATTTTGTTTTCAAGTAAAGAACTAACTTTTATTTTAATTTTTTATTACCTCAAGTCAGCCCCTGTTAAAAGTTTAAGTTCCTAGAATGATAAGGTTAAAGCGAATGAAACATTTATCTATATTGAAATGTTTTAATTACATGCAAGTTTAAATGCAATGGCAAAATGTAAAGTGGCAAGTGTTGTAGAGCAATCTTCTATTTAAGAGTTAAAGTCTCTTCTAAATTCATCAAATGACAATAACTTGCGGTATGCGTTAAAAAATAATTATTGGAGGATACGGTCAGTCACATGAGTAATAGTATTGATGAAAGCCTGACACATATAGGACGATTATTTGTGAAGGCGTGACAAATAAATCTCATAGTATCCAATCAGCTTTCATATCATAAAGGACAGAAACTTCAAACGTTCGGTAATTATTAAATACTAGTACACATTCTGTTTCGACCTAAATATGATTCATAATTATTGTAGTTTTTTAAGCTATAATTCAGCTTTTAAAAATATACGTGATTGAATTTAAGAAAATCTAGAAATAGTTTGATAATTTAAGTAATACTAAGAATATGTTAATTATTGCACTTGATGTGCAACATAACATTGAACATGACATCAAATGCTCATTTTTCCCATTTAGGTACTGACGCTTTAACGTCAGAAAATCCGAAATTGAAATCAATTTATATCCAACACAAGTCGGCTGTGTTTTTTATCGTCATCTTTTGTTTTGATATACACTACGAGCAGTTAGCAGGGATTCCTGTTTTTATACGACCGCATTTAATTTTTTGGTCGTATATTGGTATGACGTTGGCGTCGTCGTCGTCGTCGTCCGAAGACACATTGGTTTTCGCACTCTAACTTTAGTTTAAGTGAATGGATCTCCATGAAATTTTACCATAAGGTTCAATACCACAAAAGGAAGGTTGGGATTGATTTTGGGGGTTATGGTACCAACAGTTAAGGAATTAGGGGCCAAAAAGGGGCCAAAAATAAGCATTTTTGTAACTTCCAGACATAACTTGTGTGTTAGTGTATGGATCTCTCTGACATTGTACCACAAGGTTCCATATCACGAAGGGAATGCTGGAATTGATTTTGGGGGTAATTGCCACCAAATTTTAGGAATTAGGGGCCAAAAAGGGGCAAAAAACAAGCATTTTTCTAGTTTCATGACAATAACTTGTGTGTAAATGTATGGATCTCTCTGACATTGTTGTGCAAGGTTCCATAAATCAAAGGGAATTCTGGGATTGATTTTGGGGGTAATTGCCCAAAACGTAAAAGAATAAGGGGCCAAAAAGGGGCCAAAAATAGCATTTTTCTAGTTTCCAGACAATTACTTGTGTTCAAGTGTATGGATCACTCTGAAATTGTACTGCAAGGTACCACACCACAAAGGGAAGGCTGGGATTGATTTTGGGGGTAATTGCCCTAAACGTTTAGGAATTTGGGGCCAAAAAGGGGCCTAAAAACAAGCCTTTTTCTAGTTTCCAGACAATAATTTGTGTTCAAGTGTATGGATCTCTCTGAAATTGTACTGCAAGGTACCATACCACAAAGGGAAGTCTGGGATTGAGTTTGGGGGTGATGAATCATAAGGGGGTTCAAAAAATTTAGGGGAGGGATTTTTTTTTTCTTTAAAATTTTCCATTTTATAAATGGGTTATTTCTGATTTATATATAAAAGCAAATAATAATGATATGGTTTGAATAGGTAAATTAAAAAATTTTAAGTTCTTAGACCACATTCATTCTGTGTCAGAAACCTATGCTGTGTCAAATATTTAATCACAATCCAAATTCAGTACTGTATCAAGCTTGAATGTTGTGTCCATACTTGCCCCAACTGTTCAGGGTTCGACCTCTGCGGTCGTATCAAGCTGCGCCCAGCGGAGCATTTTATTAATCTTTATAAAAATAAGAAGATGTGGTATGATAGCCAAGGAGAAAACTTTCCACCAGGGACCAAAATGATATAAAAGTAAGCAACTATAGGTCACCATACGACCTTCGTCAATGAACAAAACCAATACCGCATAGAAAGCTATCAAATGCCCCGAAATGAATTGTAAAATAATTCAAACGAGAAAACTAACGGCCTGATTTATGTACAAAAGAATTTACGAAAAACAAATATGATATACAGCAACCAACGACAACCACTGATTTACAGGTTTCAGACTTGGGACAGGCAAATACAGAATGTGGCAGGGTTAAACATGTTTGCGGGCACCCAACCCAATTATTTATATATAAAACATCCAAAGAATTTTTTACACTCCAAAATAGTTTATTTCATTTCTTTCATATGCTTTTTCACAAATGATAATGATTTCTTTGATAGTAGTAAGGGAACTAGTTAAAAGAATTGAAAGATTGGTGGTAGAACACCTACTAGAGACCGAGATGAAACAATATTTAATGTAATTTAAGTAACCAATTTAAATAGGGACCTTCAAATGATCAGAGGAGGCCTTAAGCTGAAACGTGGTTATGATATGATTGTTTACTATTTGAATCACTGTGGAGCACATGGACCTGGATGTAGAAGAATTTATTAAGTCGACTTATTTTGCAGTTTTCTATTAAGATGATGGATCACGAAACAGAAAGTTTGATTGAAATATTTAATAAGGAAATGTTTACTCTTCTTATAGAATCATGTGGCAATTAGTAGAACGATAAACATGCTGGCAGATACACTAGACGAAAATCTGAGGCTTCATGACCTAACGAATGCTTATTTGATGTTTGAAGCACTAACTGAGCATTCATATTCTTTCTACTGCTATCTGTGTGGCTTCTATCCGACAACGATTGTGATGGACGGTATACGAAAGACTTGTTTTCGACATGCCGGTTGGTATAAGTATTAGTTATCCATATATATATATATGATATAATTGTGTTCACACAAATTTTAAAAAGTCCCCTGATTTAGTCTAGGTCGGCTTTCACGTTTTTGTGATTATCGTTTTAAAGCATGCGGTTCGAAGAATAAATCCTTCACTTTATACAATTTGTCACACTTGATCCATTCTAGACAACCTTCTAGACAACCTTTTGCCTTACAGTTACGCAAATTTGATTGACTTCCTTTATTCTGTGTCACGTATATTCTTCTAACTTTGATATAACAAACCAAAGAAGGATATAATTACAAATCACTGCATATTACTAACTTGCTATACGTCCTTAATTAATATCATTACACACAATATTTCCTAAATGAAAATAACTATAAGATCTCCAACAATGTTCTCGAGATACAACATGAATTGGAGTAAAAGCTTTATATTTATTTATTTACACCATGCAGAAGAAATAGGTAGTAAAATAATAAAACAAAAGTATGTTTTTGGTTTCCCACCTTCATATTAAAATGTTGTTTAAATTCACTTGCAATGACATTTAAGGAACAAGTGAGTTGACAGAATAGTTATACACCAATACTCCAGTCGCAGATATTTTAATCATTCCCTTGAATATGTCTTTGCTTAATTTTTGAGGCTTAGCTTCTCAGACTTGCAGTAGAAATAATTTAACGATTTGATTGCATTGTCATGTCTGGTACAGTTTCAGATATGGTTGCACCGGCAGATTTTACAGAATTACCCGAAACAGTTGATATGGATTCATTTTGGAAGAAAGTGGAACAAGAGTTGATAAGTCCTGGAGTCAGACATGGTAAACATTTTCCCTTGTTAATCGTATGTATATTGATGAGGCAACTTAGTAAACGAGTGCAAATATGTCCCAAAAAAAATCGAAATATAAAGGAATGCTGCCTCATTGCATTAAACCTGTCACTAATATGATAAAACCAAATTGTGTATTAGATTTTTGTTGATGAAACACATTATTGAAATAAATATAAAAATAAGAAGATGTGGTATGGTAGCCAATGAGACAACTCTCCACCAAAAAGCAAATGACGTAGAAGGTTAGCAACTATATATAGGTCACCGTATGGCCTTCAACGATGAGTAAAACCCATACCGCAATGCATGCTATAAAAGGCTCTGAAATGACAAATGTAAAATACTTCAAACGAGAAAACTAAAGGCCTGATTTATGAACAAAACAATAAACAAAAAAACAAATATGATATACAGCAACAAACGACAACTACTGAATTACAGGCTCCTGGCTTGTGACAGGCACATACAAAATGTGGCGGGGTTAAACATGTTTGCGGACGACCCAAACCTACACTTATTCATTTGTTGACATGTTACAGGAAACCGACTAAATGAGATAGTGCCAAACTACGAATTTTGGGCACCTTGGATTGGAAATGAATCAAGACGAAGCAACCATGTCTTCAATACAGAAAGTTTAAAATGTCCAAGAAGACTTTACATTCCAGGCGAGACTGAACCAGTTCCTGACGAAGTTTTAAAAAGTTTAAGGGATGAAAAGGTACACGTAATGTATTTTTATGCGAGTCATGTATACTTTTGTAATACACTTTACAGTATTTGTTCTGTCTTTTTCACATCCTACTAAGAGTTTTCAAATATTATCATATTTCCAGGGTAGGTTTCGGTGTATGTATTTTCCTGATACATGTAATACATTTTGTAACAACATAATTTAAAAGTAGTGTTCTGAATGTAATCAGAATCCACTTATAATATGGCAGCCAGTGAAGTGCATATTGGTTGTTGTTTTTAACTTATAATTTGTTTATGTAAGAAATGAAAGGAAACCCTTATATAACTACAATTTCAAATGATATAGTTCATAGATCAGATCAAATAAACGGTTTGAAGAAGAATCGCAACGACTAAAATTTGGGAGAAACACCCCTCCAATCTTAGGAACGATGGACAAAATATAATGGAACAAGGCAAATATAAACGCGTATTTAAAACAAATAATGAAACTAAATGTTTCCTTGAACCATACGAAACCCTTAGATCAAAAGTGTAAGCATGTCTAGCTCGACAACCCTCTATCACTACTTGGTCAATATTTTGAAAAATTCAGTTAATATGAATTATTGATCAAATATATGATAGTAATTTCTATGTAAAAGAGTCATTTTCAGCTTTAATACCGTATTGAAACGTTATATGTAAAATATATGTACGGCCAACGTCAATCATATATTCTTCTTTATTTGAAGGTTTCAAGAGTTCGACGTTTCTGCAAAGAATTGGGTATACCGGACAACGGTTCAATGATGGATCTAATCATCAGACTTCGTGAACATTCAATAAAACAGACTGATTATGACAGGGCATATGAGAAAATCTTTGGCACATCTGGTAAGTTTCATTGCGAAATCTTAGCGTTTTGAAAATGTTTATTTGGCTGAATTTTATTTAAAGATACAACAGAAAAAAATTAAACGAGTAGAAAGTGATTTAATTTTAATTTTACAAGAAAAAAAATGGAACTCAGTCGGCCAATCATTCTTTCACATTGAATCAATATTCAAATGGCAGTTACAAACTTTTTTATGAGGGGGAGGAGGGTAAATAGGAATCACAGTCATTCCGTCTGGATGTCTGCCTGCCCATATGCTCTGTAAGCGCAACTTTACGACTGGGCGGACAGTGGTGACATTTTACACAGTTAGACAACATCACATGAGTTTGCATACATACGAAAGCCCGTTTATGACCACCAAAAAATATACCACGAAATTTAAAAAACTTCTGATCACGAATTGAAATCGTTATCATGAATTGTACAATTCGTTATCACGCATTAAATAAGTGATAACGAATTTGTGGAATTAGATATTACATATTGTTGTAATTTGTGATCACAGATTATATACGTTATCATATATTTTTGTAATTTGTGATAAAATATTTGTAGAACACTACGTTAAAACAAATTTTGGAATTCTTTATGACGGATTTAATCCGAAAATATGTGATAACGGTTTTATTTCATGATCACGAATTACCAAAATCTGTGATAACTATTTCAAGGGATTCGTTAATTTCTGGAAATGCTCAATGTCATTCGTGAAATCTGTAAGGACAATATAGTCTTTAATGCCGAATGATTATTACAATGAAAGACAATAGCGGCATTGATCACATGTATATAGAATGAATTTGTAACTATAAATTAAGAGTAGAATCCTACCGTGCAACTATAAATTAAGAGTAGAATCCTACCGTGCAACTTGTTTTAAATTGCCTAAAAATTCTGCAAAAAATGTTCATATACCAATACGAAAAGAAGGGTGATAAAATTTTCTTTTTAAAGTGTCAATCTGCCTAAGAATCAGGCAGTGGTGAAAACATGACAAACAAAAAACCACGCAAGTTTACATTAATTTATGTTCAAAATGTATAATGGTGCATGAAAATAACATTCGTTTCCATTTCCTGTTCTGGTATTTCAAGATATAATTTGGTTGAAATGCACTAGAAATTAACAATTAAGGGGAGCTAATTCCGTAATTTGCTATCATTCTAACCAAAAGTTATTTAGAGATTTCTTAAATTACCAGACACAGAGAAACGAAAGACCTACCATTTCTAACTCAGGATGAGGGTAACTTCAAAACAGGATGGTTAGGTCGGTGGGTTTTTTTCGGTCATGTTTTGAAATTCTCCTAAATTGCCTGATTCTTACAAAGACTGGCACTTTAAAAAAATACATGAATAAAATTGAGAATGGAAATGGGGAATGTGTCAAAGAGACAACAACCCGACCATAGAGCAGACAACAGCCGAAGGCCACCAATGGGTTTTCAATGCAGCGAGAAACTCCCGCACCCGGAGGCGTCCTTCAGCGGGCCCCTAAACAAATATGTATACTAGTTCAGTGATAATGAACGTCATACTAAACTCCAAATTATACACAAGAAACTAAAATTTAAAATGATACAAGACTAACAAAGGCCAGAGGCTCCTGACTTGGGACAGGCGCAAAAATGCGGCGGGGTTAAACATGTTTTTTGAGATCTCAACCCTCCCCCTATACCTCTAGCCAATGTAAAAAAACAAACGTACAACAGTACGCACAGTAAAACTCAGTTTAAGAGAAGTCCGAGTCCGATGTCAGAATTGGAAACAAAAGAAAATAAACAAAATGACAATAATACATAAATAACAACAGACTACTAGCAGTTACTGACATGCCAGCTCCAGACCTCAATTAAACTGATTGAAAGATTATGTCTTCATCATATGAATATCAGGCACAATCCCTCCTGTTACGGGTTTAGTATTATACCATCATAAAATATATGAGAAGAACATAACCCGTGTCATGCCAACAACTGGTTTTAGAATAAATATGTTTAATAATGTATGCTAGTTTAATTTTGATCCTGGTATCTATGATGAGCTTATTTTGATAACTTAATTTGAAGATTTAAAGATATCAAATGGAGTTTATGTTATATTGCAAACAATGTTATTACTAATATAAAATAAGAAGATTAAGTATGAATGCCAATGAGACAACTATCTACCAGAGACCATGTGACGTAGATGTTAACAACTATATATCACCGTAGGGCCTCATCCATATTCACCAACCATATCGCAAGCTATAAAAAAACGCCCCGACATGTCGAAATGTTAAACAATTGAAACGAGTAGACCAACGGCCTGATTTATATACAAAACAACAAACGAAAAACAGCAACAAACGAAAAACAATTATGATATACAGCAACAAACGAAAAACAATTATGATAAACAGCAACAAACGACAACATCTCAATTACAGGTTTCTGTATTGGGACAGGCACATACATATGGTGGGGTTAATCATGTTTACAGGCGCCTAACAACATCCTCCTAACCTAGGACAGTGGTGTAACAGGACAACATAAAATCAGTTGAAATGGGCTTAACGTATCAGATCGATACATAGCAAAAATAAAAAATAAATTTATTTTTTAAATTCAGGTGGATGGCTTATTGCTGCCTGTCCTCATTCTGTGGTTTATGCAGCGAAGAGTCTCCTCAGAGGTGAAAGTCCGAGAGATTTCGTCGATTTGATGAGATCTTTCAAACATCGACCGAACATCTTGATATCGGATATAGCCAACAGAGTAGCTGCCAGCGGAAATAAAATCACCCGCATGTTTTATCCATTTGAGGGACGTGTGGCAGAAAACACCAACGAAAACTTAGAAAAGGCTAAAAGTGGGCTGTTTACTTGGGAATTGGGGTGCCTTAATGAGATCGGGCCAGAAACAACAGTCAACCAGTCAATAAGCAATGAAAAAAATCCAACATCCGGGTCATCGGAACACTATAGCTTATTTGACTGGTTCCACGAAGATAATACCAAGGATGTTAAGGAAATTCTGAGAAAGGTATCTTTAGTGGAAGGATTAGGGTCATTTACCAACTCCCAAGTTGTTGAACAGTTTTTCAACAGCATGAGAAGAGATCTTTATTTCCTAAACGAGATGTCTCCAGCTGTTCATGTTTTCATCTGTCGCCTCATGTTGCAATTCCACAATGAGAAATCGAACAACTTAATAAAAAAGCAACAGAGTAAGTTATTTCCAACAGAGATGTCTTTAAACCAGTTAGGTCAGTTATGTCAGCAGTTTGGAGACGACATCAATGGTATACAAACATCAATTGTTGAGAATTTGGAAATACGAGAAGATCATGGATCAGGAAACGTTGGTCAGCCATCAGATGTCACCACACAGAATACTTGCCCTACAGCTACTAGTATGACTGATAGATCACCTTGCGCAGTTCCTTTACATTTTCAGGAGCTATCGCAAATACAGAGCGCACTAAACTCGTCAGCCAGGGAGAATTATTCGATCTATTCCTCTTTAATGCTGTCTACTTTTGAGGAAAAAATAAGAGAGCTCACAAACACCTGGGACAACCTTTCTGACGAAGAAAGACAGGCTATATCACTGAACATGGACTATGTATCAAATGTTCTCTTCAAATGTCCATCGGAGAGAAGACTGTCAGAAGTGTCAAGCATTTTTGTTGCAGGATCGTATATACAGTGGCAGGGACCTACAAATTACTGTGGTTTGTGTGCAGTAAATAACATCATTGGTTCAAGCCCTGACGGAATATTTCCTGTATTAATAGCGGACATGGATTACATCGCAGATGAACTGTGGCTGAATATGGCTGGAGATCCCATAGTTCCGCTAACGTTTCCGATACCTGCACTTCGTGACAGAGAGGGATTTTATAGTGGAGAAGTCATCATCCAAACTCTCGAGAGGCGGTCATATTCGACGACAAGACTGCAACATGATGTCCTTTCTTCCACAGAAGATAATGAAATCATAAACAATCTGATGTCCTTCGAAGAAATAAAGGGATTGATAATTAGAAAGTTTAACGAAGCACATTGGATTTCAATTCCAATAATCAACGATCAATTTATCTTCATAGATCCGAAAGTGAAAGCACAACGTACACTTCCATCAAGCGATGTATGTCAATTAATAAGGAGCCATTGTTTTCACCCTGGAGCAGTTTACATTGTGCAGGTAAAATATGACCAAAAAAGTCCCGCTTATCAGATACTAGTATAGAGTATTTAGCTACTACTGATTTCATAGTCAACTAAAAAATTACCCACATATGCAAAGTCCAATCTGATTGAAACCCAGATCCTTCGTCCACGCTTCGTTTACAAGCCAATCGTGGACATAGGATATGTACTTTTATTAGATTGTGCAAAGTCTATCCATGCATATAATACTCGCCAAAACGTGTAAAATATTTAAGGAAAATGTCACAATAAGTTAAGAGACAAGCAGGCAAGCCAAAATCCAACACAATAGTGTTACTTGTTATGAAGGAGAAGAAGAAGAAAACAAATGAAAGTGTGTTCAAATACATCCGACCCTCGTTCATATCTTTTGATCCAGAATACATATATAATTTACATCACAAGTAGAAGTTGACTTCCTCGCCATCTGTTCTTAATTGCATTGGAAATAATAATTTAAGTCACCTTTTTACATATTATCATCAGCACCATTAAGGTGTATTAACGAAAAAAATTAAAAGGAACAGCAATACACGGTTTTATATAGAACTAAAGATATATTTGTTAAAGATGGTTATTGGTTTTTGACATTTGATATAAAAAAAAATTGTCCTTATAATCTTCTTTCAAAAGTACGATCTTTTACAACGATTCCTAATAAAAATAAGACAAAAACGGATTTAGTTTTTCAAAAGTCTCTTGCTGCGTTTAGGGTATAGAGTAAAGTACACTATGATATGTTGAATTAAATTGTGAAAGACATGGTGAAACCAGAAACAACAAAAGAATTTTTTATAACTGTTGTCGGACACTTTTAAATATTAAATCAAATTTAAAAAATAACGTCAAATGTATACATTTTCTGTTACAATTTAAGACACGTATGTTTTAATTCTTGAAATATTTCACAGAAGGACACTTGTCAAACTGGTACAGATGGCATCGACGAAAAAATTGGTAGTACAGATGTAGAAGAAAATTATGAAGAGGGGATCATTCAGAATGAGGTTACAACGGTAATTATTAAACCATTCACATATCATTAAAACCCATTGTGTCAGGGTTCAATTTGTTTTCATATGAAAATGGTTGGTCTATAAATCGTAAGGATGTTTAGAAATGCTATAAATCCATTTAATTTTATCTTGAACATCGTTAACCCGCAAATAAATTTTTTTTAAAATCAGCATTAAAAAGTAGTTATCATTTTTAAATATGTTTGAAGCCCGGTTGTCACTATCAAAGTTAAAATGGTAAAAGTTGTCTTTGACGAGGTAAACTTGGTCCAAGTCATCTGTTGTCACTATCAAAGTTTTTGATCAAAAACTTGGTCTCTAAAAACTTTGACCAGGTAAACTTGGTCCAAGTCATCGGTTGTCACTATCAAAAGTTTTTCATCTTTGGTCAAAGAAAAGACTACACTGTGATTGGATAATTTCCTTAGAAAATAGGATTAGATTCTATTCCATACAAGTCCGTCCAAGTTTTTGATCAAAGTTTTCTTTGACGGTTGTCACTATAAAACAATCCATCACTGTGACCAAGAAAACTTGTACAAGAAAACTTTGATAGTGACAACGGGCCTTTAGAACATTTTCTCTATGCTTTCAACACTTTACAAAAATTAATAATGATCACAGATCCGATAATTATGTCATTTTTAGTACTTAATATCTTAAAAGAAATCGAATTTCAGCATGGCGATTCTAAAGATGGATAAGGAGTTATGTTTTAAAAAATTTACGATTATTACCCCCTTTGAATTGTTTAAACCACGGTGAACAATCCCAAAGTTAATGAAACCAAGTTGAATTTAAAAATAGAAATAATATATATCGAAAGAATTTTGCAACAACCTTTCCAATATGTCTATAAGTTGATGTCAAATTGTCAATGATAGCTTAAGACATTTCTGTTGAAGACATGATAAAATATGGCAAATTGTACATGTTTTAGCGAAATTTTACATCGAAGGTTTGAGTGTTTAATAGTCTTTTGCTGAATTTCCGGTGAGGAATATTTCTCGTGAATTTTCAGGACGAGCATTATAAATACGTTGTAAACCAATATAAAAAAGAGCATAATGAGTTTGAGGTCCTATTGTTTTGCAATAAAAAATCTTCCGAGCAATAATATTTGGTATTCTTTTTGTCAAATCCATTCGCATTATTCCATCTTAAATAGTAAGTTCCATAGCTCCCTCTTAGTTTATCATGTTTGAAAGAATGCTTTTTCTCGTTAAAAAAAAGTCCAAAGACTTTTGGAACTGGCCACAGGAAAAACTTTATGAATATGTATATGACGCGAAACATTTACAGTATAATTTATAGTTTGTAAAGTTAAGGGGCGTGGAAATTCTTGTCGCGTGCGCGACTCGAATATTTCCTCGCCCATGTCTTGTTAATCAGTTACAAATCCTAAATCAAACTGTTTAAATTAATATACTAGTAACTTGGAATTTCTATTGTATTTTGAAAGAGAAAATAGCAGAAGTTAGTACAGTTTGAAAATTCTAAGAATTTCTTTTAATAAATAATGTTTAAATGATTTGATGTACTAAGTTATTTTTAAAAGTTAAAAGTGTTAAAAATATTAAAACCATCAAATAATTGTCCATTTCAATTAGGAATATAACTTTTCCATGTAATGATTCCAGATTGTATGCAATTTGATATGTTACGCCATTTGTTAGATGACTTATTCCGTTTATTCGATTACTGACGATCGCAGTCGTTGGCAAATCAAACACAGTACTGCTATTCCTTAAGTGTTTTAGATAGTCTTTCATTCGGTTCTGCTAGTCTTAATTGTTGAACATGATATACACTTGGGGCATGATTTTATAAACACAAATTATAAGATTAAAGCTGACATGTATTTTATTGGTATCTTTCATGTTAGGACAATACAACGGAAGACATAGAAGAACAAACCAGTGATGGAAATGACAATGGAACAAAAGATCTGACTAACAGTGAAAATACAATGGTAATCATTACTTAATATACTTGAATTTAAAAAGATATATGTTGGATAGTTGTATCATCATACCACATCTCCTTATTTTTATATCCCGGTCTCTCGTCTTATTAGACATATTTACCATGTTTACGATGATATAAATCACACAATCCTTTTACGTACATTTTATATAATTACCAGTTTAGTCCATTTTTTTTATAAATAAAAATCTATCACTAAACATACGTTTGGAATAGCGTGGTTGCTTTTCCCTAACTTTCCTTCCTCAAAATTATAACCCAACAATCTCAGTGGTCTCGTGGTTGCGTGCTCGCCTCTGGCTCAATGTTGTGGGTTAAATTTCCGACATTTCCTGCTTTCCTGCTATGCACGCGGCATTTAGGAGTAAAGTTGGCTCGGATTCAGAATAATGTGTGCAGCAACTGTGACATGTATTCCTGCGGATAATCATTGTTATCTTGTGAAGAAGCAAGCCTTCAAGTAAAATACGGCTATACAACAAGGCATAGTCTATATTTATTTGTAAGTTGCATGATGTATTTGTCACTTGACGTTAACTACCAATCAATTATCAGTTATATATTATGATTCCTTCTGGAGTCGTGAAATTCGTTACGAAAGAAGTTGTAATCACGGAAAAAATATTTAGAGTGAGAAAACTTACTTTTACTGGAATGATAAACACAGATTGCGAACAGTTATCTTCACTTAGAATTAAGCACAGTCTACATATAGCATCTGAACTATAAGAGTTTATAATTAACAAACTGTCCTTATTTCAGGTGAAACGTAATTACGAATTAAGGAAGAAACCACCAAAGGTAAATGATTATATACTTAGCACACATAATATACGGGCGACCTACATTTGCGCGAATTTGAATTTTGACTGGTATTACGTTTGCGCGAATTTACCTGCAATTTACATGAGTTTTATCTGTGTTTAATACTGAAAATAACCTGAATTTTACAACAGCTTTTTTAATGATTAATCATATTGATAAATACATATTATTTTATTCGTTTATGTATTAGATACACCTATGAGGGCGTTAGCCCGATTGGGTGTATCTAATTTACACCAAGATATTATTATCAATGCAGAATGATAGTTTTCAATAATTTAGGAGGGGGGTCTTTCAGCAATTTGACCATATGTTATTGAAAAGCATGACAAATGTAGGATATCCAATTTCATTTAACGACATCTTGGTGTAAATTAACATGTAAAAGCAAAGTCTTGAATAAAACACAGTGTGTATGTTCTCGACAAGAACAATCTATAAGTCAGTCTTCGGAGCGATTTAGGATAACATGAATGTGAAATTTCTCCAGAATGAAATTAAAAAAAAATTGTTCAATGGTGAACTGAATGTTGACTTATGTCCTTGTCTGTGCGTATCGTTTCAAATGAGCAGTGGTATCGCTTCCGCTTATTTAAAAGTCAACTAAACTTTCGCTATAACCAGTACTATTTATTCTCTTTCTAATTGAAGTTCGTTAGTTTCATGATTGTGCTTGTTTGTTGGCCTAACAAAACTTTACATTCGCGATAAGATTTTATTCTACATTTGCATATTTTCTATGGTGCATCTCCTTGAAATTTCTTCATTTTCTACTCTATATCTTCACGAAAAGTATATTCATCGAATATCAAGTATTTTCCCCCCTTTGTTTGTCTCAGAGATGGTATTCCTATCTTCAATTCGATTTTCAAATTATCATCTCAGTTATTTTTTTTAAATTTTAATCTATTTTGTTTTATTTCAGAATTCATCATATTTGTCTTAAAGCTTTTCAATAATTTTTTTAAAGAAACTTTAATTAATCCAGGCAAAAGTAGTAGGAGTTTCCAACAGGTAAATTTCACGCAAACGTGGATATTTTTTCGCGCAAACGTAACGCGCCGTAATATACAAAACAATGATACGCCATAGAAAAATATGGTACGAGTTCATTTCAATTGAAGGCAGACACAATGCAACAAACTATAAAAAAAAACTATGTCGAAACTAATATTATCTAATATAGTTATGTATATGCATACAATAGACGGAATCTCATTTCCAATTTATGCTTCACAGAAAAGAAGGAAGAGTTTTTGGTATGAATACGACCAGAAGAAGATTGCCAAGAGATTGCCATGTTATGTAAGTGTCAATCATTGATATATCTCTAATTACTCACAGAACACTTACCAAAAAGTTGGTAATTGTTCAAAAAGTATATATTTTACCTGCTGGCAGAATTTCTATAAATTTTCAAAAAAGATAAATTTCAACATTACTCTTTGAAAATTAGAAAAGAAATTGACAGCGACAACTCTTCAACTACAGTACTGTTATTCCTTAATTTGACAAATATCGATATCATCACGGATGGCTGATACAGCACGATTGCCATTGATTGTATTACACATACAATTTACTTGTCTTAACTACTAAGTATAAAATAAACAGTTGTATTATCTGCTGCCAGCTGTGTATTTCTTGTAATGATAATTTATAGCTTGAAACAAGACTTGTTCGGTTTGTATTTTTGCATAGAAACTCTGTACGATTTTTTTCTGAGCACTCCAAAAGATCGCCTTCCTGTAACATTTATAAAAATGCTGTATAGATCTTTTATGAAGTACAACTATAGGTATTAGAGTGTAGGACGGCATAACTTCATCTCAGTGGATTAAACACTTCAGCTTGCTTTCGACAATTGCGAGTATTCTTTGATATAGTTTACATCAGCATTGATTTGTTAGTAGTTATGAATTTTTTTATTGTTATTAATTTTCATGAATTATAAGAGTAAACCGCAAAGAGCTTTATGTATGCACAAAAAAATGTAAAAACGTTAATACTTTGAATTGTTATATAATTAGTCTGTGGAAGACAATCTTAGAAATACAGATGAGGATGACGATCCACAAAATGATGAAGAGGACAGTATAAAAGGTAACATACTAGTATTCAAAAATATATTGTACAAAAATATTGTCTTCACATGAAAGTTCTATAAGTAAAATAAAAAAGACTTTACAGTAGGTTGCAAAACGATTGAAGTCCATCTACCAGAAACTAGGAATTTCTATCGTACGAACAAAGGGAGATGTGGGGTATATTTCAATGAAGAGACAAAGCTAAAAGTCAATCCGATTGTTGGTTAATTTTTGGGTAGGTACAGTATTTAAGTAAGTAAGAATTTCAATATAAGGAGTATCAATCAATGTATATTCACTGTAATAAGGCAAAGCAGGCATGTTGTTTTCTTGCAAAGTAAACAAGAATTCTGCTTACTGGTGTCACGGGAACAGGGAGAGGCTCTCAAACTATTTTTTTTTAAATACAGACGTGAAGCTTTGGTTTACCCTCGCTCCTTCAAATATTAAAAAACTTTATTAATTCCCACCCATATATCTATTTCACGGAATAAAATCATTACACTTTCAAATCTAGAATTATCTACTTTGAAGAGAATTTCGCATTTAAAAGCAAATCTTTAAAAGTGCATATATTTCTCAGTTGTCATATGTACAATCTGTGATATCTTAATTATACCCCACGCAACGAGTTGCGGAGGGTATAATGTTTTTGACCCGTCCGTCTGTCCGTCCGTCTGTCTGTCTGTCCGTCAGTCCGTCAGTCCGTCAGTCCTATTTCTTGTCATCGCAACTCCTCTCAAACCACACAACAGAATTTCACGAAACCTTTTTAGATAATAAGGACATACTATGTAGTTATGCATACTGACAGGAAATTACGATTCATTTTTTTTTTCTAGGAGTTACGCCCCTTTGAACTTATTTGCCCAATATACTACTGCAACCTTTTGTCATCGCAACTCCTCTCAAACCACACAGCAGAATTTCATGAACCTTTACAGATAATAAGGACATACTACGTAGATGTGCATATCGACAGGAAATTACGATTCAATTTTTTTTCTAGGAGTTACGCCCCTTTGAACTTATTTGCACAATATACTACTGCAACCTTTTGTCATCGCAACTCCTCTCAAACCACACAACAGAATTTCATGAAACCTTTTCAGATAATAAAGACATACTACGTAGATGTGCATATCGACAGGAAATTACGATTCAATTTTTTTCCAGGAGTTACGCCCCTTTTAACTTATTTGCCCAATATACTACTGCAACCTTTTGTCATCGCAACTCCTCTCAAACCACACAACAGAATTTCATGAAACTGTGTAGATAATAAGGACATACTATGTAGATGTGCATATTTACAGGAAATTATGATTCAATTTTTTTTTCTGATACAATTTTTTTTTCTTACACTTATTTTATTTCTCCAATGACAATGTGGGGACGTGGGGTATGTGAGCGCGCTCACTAAGGTTCTTTCATTACATTTAAATGTGCCAATAAAAGTTTCTGCAGATAATAAAAGTAAACCACATGAATCTGTCACACGTATTGATTAGAACGAAGAGCATGCTCAATTTGCAGACTTTTAAATGAGGAAATACTCACGATCAACTAACATATCAGTTACTATCCATAGATATAAAACCTCGGTGAAATAAAAAAATGTCCGCCCATTGATATAATTGACATAAAAAGTGACCCAACCCAGTAGCACATTTGTTTATACATTCATATAAACAGTTGGCCACTGCAAACAACAATAAATCATTAAGACAGAGATGCTCCCTCCCCTCCCACGGCCGACTTCTGGCTGATGCATAGTTTTCTTAAATAAAACTTTTAATGTAAGGTTTGGAAAATATTTAAAACGTTGTCTTCAATGATCTAGTTTGATTCAGAGTTTATTTCTTCGTATACATTATGTAACGCGTTCAAAAGTGCTTACAAAATGCATTTGCGATTGAACGAAGTTTATTCCTTTAGGTCAATCATATTTTTGTACTTGTTATCCGGACTTTTATGTACTCAAATTGGAGAGAGCGAGCGAAATTTGTATTTAATTTCACGGGATGTCCCTTAATAGCTACTGTTTTAACTTTTGAATGTTTTTTAATATGCAAGAATTAATTGGAAAAAAAAACCAAGCAACTCTTAAGGCGCCCTGACATATATATATGATACCCCAATTGCCTATATTACATTCTCCTTAATTAAGGAAATATATAGCTCGAATCAATGTATAGTTAGATTTTGTTTTGTTTCAGATTTGTCAGTGAGTTCTGAAATGAAAATCGACGTTAAACAGGTAAGTGAATTCAAACAGAACGGTTATCAACATATTTTAAAACAATTGGTGCAGTAATATGCGGTGCTTTGCTTTTGCGCCAATTGGCATTTCAGTTGTGCCAAAAAAAATCTTTCATTTGAGCCACAAACCATATTTCATTTGAGCCAAAATAAAACATTTCATTTGCGCCAATAATACAGGTAAATAACATAATATTAGATATGTTGAACAAAGAATTTTAATAAAAACCACAGTGACAGCTATATACACTGAAGCAAAGTTATAAGTCTGCTCGGACACAAAACTTGTAATACGGATTTATTCATGGAGAGAAATTTCGCCTCTTAGGCGCATACTATTTTTCTGCAAAATATAGTCCATTTGGATTTCTCCCATCGTGTAACTGCATCTCATTGTTATGTACGTTGTTGCTTGAATATTCTTTACTACGTCCACATAAATGAAAACGTTTTGACGTTTTGAATAAAACTGCTAGTTAAAATGTGCATGGAGCGATTCTGGTCCATTGTTGGTTCTATTGAAATCCTCAGTTGGTGCAGACACGTGACATGTGACATGTGAACACTATACAATTTTAAACCTAAGTCACACTTAGTTTTGTATTATATGAGTATAAATTCACTTTATTACCCAGGGGAAATGCTTTACAAAATTTCCTTTTCAGGATACAATGAATATTTAAATTTTTCCGTTATATATATGTTACCTGTAAAATGGCAAAAATGTAGTTTTAATTTTTGGCGCAAATGAAACATTGAATTTTGTAAAAAAAATGGCGCAAATGCAATGCGCCCGTAATATGTTATTATTTTTAGTAAGTAGAAAATGTTTGTAGTGCAAGTAACCTTATGAAAAGCAAATTAAGCCTTAATAACTTTACCAAAGTTTAACGACATTCTTTTCACTAAGTTCTTTTTTTCTTCTCTCAATTGAACTCCGCACCAGGTCTCATAACAATAGTGTATGTGTAAACTATTGTATGTCTTGTTTTGTACTATTGTGTCTGCACGTACTGAATTTTATATGCATGTCTTTAATTTATTATAATTACATAACATGTATGTTTCATTAGAATCCGTAATTTTGATTGGCTGATAACAATCGCGAGGCACTCCAATATCATATTTTATTTCCGTATAAAATACAACAGCTATGACTGCACGTGCTATCCGTGACAATGTTAAACTAATCCATCGGAAAACAAACGAAAAGCTTGATATAACTCTTAATTTCATGGGTGTAGCATAAAAATGTAATTATAAGAATTAAATGCTTCTTTTTGTATTAGATACACATATGAGGGCGTTAGCAACTTTTAAAAAAAAATTAATTTAAATATAGAACATGAATCAGATTTAATAGAATTTTTTTATTGGAGACTCAGCAACATGTCATAAGTGAACAAATCTTGTATTTAAAAAAATCACAAATAAAATGGGTTTATTTTTCACTTTTATTACTTTTTTAATTTTGTTTGTTTGTTTGTTTTTTTTTAATTTCATATTTAGAACAACAAATTTTGCAAGTATTTTACCATACAGAAGTGTATTTTTGTCTATTATTTTCAAATTTCATATTTACTTCAACATAATTTTGGAAATATTTAACTGTTGTTTCTAATTTTAAAGGAGTAATTTTAACGCTTTAAAATACTGACTGTATTTTACCTGTAATTAATTATTAATTGTTATAACAACACCCATTGTATTTTGTATGTAGGCATAGGATGAATATATATTTTTCAAATGTTGGCATAGGTTGATGACACCAAGCGTTGATCGTGCGCACATTTTTAATATGAAGCGCTTCCTACAAAATGTGCTTCGGTCAACGCTTTTACACCCCAATGAAATTATGAAAAGAAGCATTCAATTCTTAAATGTATGTCGTTTCAAAATCTCGCTCAGAGCTTATGTTGTATTGTTATTTAACTTGCCGACTTAAAATAAAACTTATTTGATTTCATAATATGTAAGTAAGATGCACATATATATTATTAGTTACACCTAGGACATAATGTATTGGTTAGTATAATAGTCCAAGGCTGACCTAATACGATATATACTGGGTCAGTAAATTCAATATGGGGCGAGAGCGAGCGAATATATATCGTATTTAAAATTCACTAGCATACTTTGTAACGAATTTATCTTACCGACTATCTTAATGTGGTGAATTCAGAGGAAGTTGTAAAAGAAGTATAGATATTTTTCATTTTTTGTTATAGTGATCATTATGAATCACTAAAGCAATATTTGGTGTAAGGTGGAATATAACAGGACCAAGTCTTCAATATTAAGAACCTACTTGCATTGACGTGTACAAAAACAAATGCCAACAATAACAATGTAATATCAAAGAACTTCTACATTATAGTAAATGTACACGGTTTCCACGTGTTCGCTTTTAACCAATGATATTCCTAGTAGTGTAGGTAAGATAAATATATTTGTGCATAAAATATGTTAATTGACCGACCGTGCGAGGCCCTCGTGGGTAGTCAAGGTCGTTAAACACCCTGGTAGATATTAAGGGAGAAAGGAAGAGTAGGGTTTACTTTAAAATATCTCTGGAAAATTATTTTGTAATATTGTAATAGTATTATGAATTTATGAACATCTCAAAATGTTTATAAATATGTATACACCCTTCATGAAATATTATATTTGTGCAATTTCCACCATACAATTCGGGTCCGGCTCAATTTAAGTTGGTCCAAAGGACATATATGAGACATACGGCGTTGTTGCTTATTTCGTTGCCTGAAAGATTACGCAGTTATATGAAAACATACAAAAACAAGTATTAACACAATTTCCTAATTATCTTTTCTACAGCTAAATAAAGACAGTCCAGATAAGCAGGAAGTTGGAGACAGTGAAGATGAAGATGAAGATATAGATGAAGGTAATCTTTGTCTTGTGCTCCATTTTCTTGATTCACATAAAGATTTAAGTAAAGATCATTCCCTAAATATATATATCTATAAGATTATAAAATGCAAGAGAACTCAGGATTATTTCCAATAAGAATAGAACGAAAATTTATTTTATGTGGATAAAACTCATTGTAGTTTGTCAAAATTTTGCAATCATGTTCTATTACTATATGGTATGGAATTATTTCTAGATATTAAGTCCTAGATATATGTCAAGATTTCTCAATTGTTTTTGTAATTTTTTGTTAATTTCAATCCCTTTAATGGCATATTATGTACAAAGAAAACAAGTACACTTGTCATTATATTCATTCAAAGCAGGTCCAAAATTACAATTCTTTTTTTTTTATCTTCAGATTTCTCAATGGAATTTGCAGATTTTGAAGTAAGTAAATGCAAACATTAGTATAAGTTATATTAAAGTTATCATACTATTGCTAAGGGTTGAGCTTTGAAAATGTGAACAACAGTTAAGCCGATCGATATAAAAATAGTCTCCTTACATTATTATACCCCTACTGTCTATTGTAACCGAGCTTTCTTAAACGGGTGATATAGTGTGGTGGAGGGGTCTGTCCGAATGTCCGTCTGTTTTTTCTGTCCCACTTTTGTATGCGCAACTGCTCCTGGACCGATTGACAGATTTATGTAAGATTTACACCGAGTCTTACTCAAATTATGTACTTTTGCACTTCCTATATTTTTAATTTATTCATCTGAATGAGTATTGGGGATTACTTTATGACGCATTGACATGGACTTTGTCATATCTGCACACTATAGTACATATTTGTATCGACTTCTCTTCCTTGAATCCCTAATCATGATTTAATAACACTTTCTCAAAATCTGAACCATATAAATGCCATTGTGCACATCCAATTTTGTATTTTGGTCCGAATTATTTTTGTGGTTTCCCTAAGCAAATTGGTACATCTTTAAGGACGGCTCTATTATCAAAATGCAGGGAAAAAATCCAGTACAATTCTATGCCGTTAGAACTTATTACAAGGTTTGAGAGTGACAGTTCCTGAGACCATGGCAAAGATCCCGGTAAATGATAGAAACCTTTTTAGGTCTACTTTAAAATCTTTAACATATTAAAGTTTCAATTTATACATGTTTTACTTTTTTTTCAGAAAATGCGGATGCTGACTTATGTCAATGAAATCATGCACTGTGAGAACAGTAATTGGTGAGTCAACATTTAATTAAATGCATGACATTTAAGTACTAACAGTACATTATGGTTGGTGATATCAGATATACAAGCTATGCTTTCCGGTTTATATCCACTGACAATGCACGTCTGATGTTTAATTTTAAAAAAAGTTTGTTGAAAACTTTGATATCCTTTTAATGTCACGGTGCATAAAGCCACTAAAGCTTGCAGACAGCATAGGTATCACTGACATATATTCCTGAGTGCGTTAGCCTCGTGATGGTATGTATAAGATGTAAGCTTCTCATATCTGAGGGGGGTTAGCCCCTCAGATATGAGACGACTACATCTGATTTACATAGAAGTAATAAATAACAATTTTATCTTTTCTATTGTTCTAAAAAGAGCAATTCGTTTTGATAAACCAGGAAAAGTGTCAATATCTCAAATTTTCCAGATGCAGTAACACTTTCAGAAGATGTTTTGTAGTTATGGATTTGGAATGAAATCTTAATTGCTTCTATTTTTCTGTCATCAAATTAATACCTTATCACTGCTTTTGTATGGCAATATGAATCGCTTTTCTATCTTTTCTTTTTTTGGTTTAATTGTCAAAATCTGCACTTTTTGCTGATAAATGATAACACTTCTATGTAAAAATAATTTACACTATGACGTTATGGTATATGCTTAATGATAGCTTTCAATAATTTAGATTTTAGAATTTACCTACAAAAACCAATTTTGTATAATACATTGTTTCAAGGAGAAACAATTTTATGATGAAAAAATATAAACCTCGATAATTTCAAAAGAAAAAATCAATCAATATAATATTAATATTGCAATTGATATGATTCAAAAATTTTCAGTAATTGCTTTGTAGTGATGAGGCTGATCATGAGCGCCACCATCAGTTTATTGGCAGCCCTGAAATGATAGTCAATAGAGAGAGGAGAAGATTAGCCTTTGGCTGCGGAGTAATTTCTCAAAAGGTATGCATCCTGGTTTAAACCAACCAGCGTTGGCTTTTCAACTTGTTAAAACCTATGAGTGTTGAAAAATGCTGCATGCAATGACCAAATGACCAATGATCAAAGAACAAAAAAAGACCATGATGAAAATAAGAAAGGTCTTAGCTGTAAATGTTTATAGGTAAAAGGACAACCACCGCATACTGTTTACACATGCAAGGGTGACATGAGTAACTTTCTGTTTGACTGTTTTATACACAATGATAGAAACGCGAACATTCATTGAATGCATTATCCAGTCTTCAGACAGTGCAAAAACATTTCACTTTTTTTCAGTTTTCCTTTTCGACCCTTTATAATTGCCCACAGAAACTACCCAATTGATGAACTGTTAAATATGTTATCCTCTTAAATGTGGCTAAAATATTTGTCACTCGACGTAAGAAAGCAACTGCAAGTTACTTCTTGCACATAACAGGGAGATGAAAATCTGTATGATTTATTTGGCATCCATCAGATCTTAAGGTAAACCGGGTTTTCGCTGTAAAAAGTGTAATATGAAAAACACATTCAAAATTTATGGCGTTTATTTTCTTCATAATACTTCATTACTCGGGAAAGTTAAAGACCAACACTTGGAGCTGTACAAAATTGACCTAAATTCATCTAAGGGCAGCACTTCAAAATTAATGCTTCAACTTAGTTTTAAACCAAATGACCAAATTGTTAAACTTCTAAATTATAAAAAAAAAATGAATATATAATAAAAAAAATTGGCGTTATTAGTGAATGTTACTCACTTTTACTGGTGATTCACCAGGTTCAGATAAAATATTTCGGTACTGTACCTAGTCTTTTAAAGGGGCATTAGCTACGATTTAGAAAAAAAATTAAAATACGATTCTTTTTGTTTCAAGTATTAATAAAAGCGGAATTTTGAAATAATATTTCATTATAAGCAGTCAGTTGGCCCGAATTTGTCAAAATAAGCTCAAAACATCGCTGATGTATTATTGATAATTCAATAATTCAACCTCATGTGAATCCGTATTCATGTGACCTTCAACTTTACCCCTTTGCTGGAGATGGGTTCCGCATGTACTAGGCGTGTTCAGCTATTAAAAAGAAAAGAATGTCAACATTGAACGTGAAACAAGGGTGAACCATTTCGTTGACTGATTCTAGCCAAACAAAATTATGATTAACATATTTTTTAACCTCTAACATGAAATCAAACAGACCTAGAAAAAATCAAATTGCACGTGCTCGCTATCTATTTATATTTATGTTTATATCGGGTAATATAACCGTCGGCAGTCTTCGGAGGTCATCTCGGTGGTTAATTAGATGGAGTCTAGACTAAAATCGTACGAAATCCTGATGAATATTATCGAGTCCACGCATTGTTAATTGTTAATTTTAGACTTTTTGTAATTTGGATATACGTTTTAGTATGTTATAAATCAAATATGAGAATTTGAGTCAAATCGGTGAACATGAATTTGACAGCTCCTTTAAAGCCTGGGTTATACATTGATCGTGTTCACCAGAACAATCTACAATATATATATTTTTTTTTTTAAAGATTATTAGTGCTCTGCTCAAATATCTGACAGACAATTTGGTGTACAATCATCACGAGCCCTTCAGATTCGGCGGCAGAAGGATAAGGAAGCTGACACATATTGAACTTCAAAATATTTTCCTGGAATATAAGTTGTAAGTTTAACTAGTGCATGGCTGAAACGTCGAGTTATACCAGAAAATTATATTATTATGTCAATTAAAGGCCATGTTTTTATAGATAGTTAGGTTCTTACGAATATTTTTAAACATTATATAATAAAGAGGTACTCATATATAAATTGTCTCGTTCGTCTTGATCTTTAGCTAAAGTTATCGCTTTTCGTTGATCGTTAGACAATTTACACTGACAATTTGAACCAAACTAATGGCGGGAATAATGAATAAAAGGTCGTTCTGAAGTTTTCCTCTGTTAGTTATTATGACATAAAACACATAACCATCAGAGGCAATTTTTAATTCTAATGGGTTAATGTGGGAGCTAATACAGCAACATTCGCATTGGTGGCACATAGTTCCATTTGAAGCCATTTGAAATCACTCTATTTCTTGTATGAAATAATTTGGCCAATTTTTGGTCATTATTTTTCATCAAAATAGTTCAATTTTTATGGAAAGGAACAATTAAACAACCACAGGGTATATATATACGAAAACGTTGGACAAAGCGCCGCGAATGCAGCCTTAGATGGGCGGATATACTGACGGCATGGTATATATATATATACCCAGTCTGCTAAGTAAAGTATGTTAAGTTTTGCAATACAAATGCTGTTTTCTGTTATTATTTATAAATGGTAAGTCGCAGAAGGTTATAGTTTTTTTTTCACATTTGCAAAAATGTATAAAAACGTCAATGTCTTAAACTGACTTTACAAACAAAAAGATAGGAATTACAGTGTATAACCATTACATACTAAAGTTTAAATTCTTGTTATTTCACTTTCAGTTTTGCTGACCACTATGTGACCTTTGTTTTACATAAGGAGGCAATCATATACTTCCACCAGAGGAAGACAGGGTGTCCATATGAGTTAGCAAACCAAAAATGTATGGATGCAGAAGTGGATATGTATATTGAATGGAAAAAGAAGCATAGAAAATAACTATGAGCATTCAAATTGAATATATTACATTTTATTTTTGTTTGTTTGTATATAGTAATTATGATGGTCTTATATAACATCAATATTCAACGTTTTATGATGATATTTTTATTTTCTTATTGTTTTAAAAGCTGTAGCTTATTAGTAAAAAAAGAAATTGTAAAACAAGATAACAGCAATATTAATGAAAAGAAAAAACAAGGCAACAAATGCAGAGAATTTATATGAAGTAGTGGATATAGAAAGGAAAATCAACAAGAACCTTTAATCGCAAGTTGATTATCGTTTCTGAATTGACTAAAACACGGTTTTAAATTTGGAACATAAATCAATAGAAGTATCTAAAAAGAATTTCAATTTTATTTTTTTATTCTTGAATGTGTGGGAATTAATACGGTTCACATCTATATTTAGGCATATGAAAATTAAAGAAAGTTTAATATTGTAGTTTAATATTTTTTATTATTGCTACTATTGTAGGGTACATGTATCTACGGTCAAAGCTGCTAGATATATACTATTACTAGAGACTCTGTTATATTACCAAGAAAACGCAATTATTGGCTATAATAAAAACAAAAATATTATTTTAAAACAGAAGAATTAATTATGCTTTAGTTAATGGGTGTATATAAGAATATGTATTTTTTCGATATCTTACCAACGCGGTGACGATAGGCAACATAAGTGTATGTTCAGATAGAACGATACATGTTGAATAAACGGGAGATCGAATCTTACACCGGAATATAAGTATTAGATTGTTGCTTACCCCCATACATATTATTTTAATCACAGGAAATAAAATATGTATTTTGTGTCACTTTTAGAGGTAAAAAAAATAAGGTCACGACAGTAGCTGTCATTTTAGACTTTATTGTAAAACAGCAACACCCCATAGTAACGTACTGTATTTGCTGAGGTAAAATGGTTTTGACCCGGTCGTCCGTCACTACGTTGATGTCGCCTTGATAGCACCTTTATTTTTTGTCGCATCCTCTTCAAATCTGGATGAAGGTTTCCAATCATCATAACCATAGATGAGTTAGACACTCAGAAACATTTGAAATGGGCACTATTTTGAGCGGAAAAGGCTTTCAAAGTCAACCAATACTATGTTTTATCGCCACACTACCTCCTCTATTTTTGTAGGATTCTCTTTAAATTTGATTGAAGGTTTCTGGATGATTTTGATAAGAAAAATCCGAAAAGAGAGACAATTTTTCCGATATATCATGCAATATATCATGTGTTTATGTGTGAACAGCGTTGAGAATTTTATCCGTTTTCTCTTTTTTTTTCTTTTTCTTTTTTAGAAAATTTAACATGCAATAATATTTTATTTTGGTATTGCGATACGATTAATAGTACTACTTTATTTCATATGGTTAAATTGTGATTATTATCACAAGTTTGGTTTTCGAAAGGTCCATTTCCAACAGTTAACAGAGAATGTGTGTAAAATGAAATAATTAACACAAAGAACGACAACATTAAAGTAAAAAAAAACCCAGCCATAATATATATACTGTATATAAATGAACAATGTTAATTGATTGAGTTAATGTATTGCCAAGTTAATGATTACTTTTATCATATGTTTTGTTTTGTTTTAGTATATTGCAGTATTCATGTATACTCAAACTTGTCAAGAGTATTAAGCACATGACAATGTCATGTGGGTATCCAATTTGATATTTTGATATTGTAATTTGTTGGTTTTTATTAGCCTAAATGAAATGTACTAGAATTTTCTTGAGTATGTGTATTGACAAGTTTATGATTATTTTATCATATGTTTTGTGTTCTTTAGGAATATTTTAGTATTCATATATGCACACATGTTTAACTTAAACTTGGCAAGAGTATTCAGCACATGACACTGTCATGTGGGCATCAAATTTGATATTGTAGTTTGGTTTTTATTAGCCTAAATGAAATATACTAGACTTTTTTTATGAGAATATGTTGTCTATGGGCGTTGTAATTGTAGTGTAGTACAAGTGACATAAACTTCAACGTGTTGAAGGCGGTCACTACAAAGTAGAAGTAGAAGAAATATACTGAACATATTGACACATTGTGTTTGTTGCATACATATTCTATTTTACATATTTTATGAATTATGATGTTTTGATGTCAATCCTGCATTTGGATTTTATATTTAGTTTAATTGCTATGCAATGTTTTTTTTGTAAATTTTGTTGGTCTTTTCGTCGTTTTTTGTTTTTGTCGATGTCTCTTTAACTAACAAATTTTGATTGTCCCTTTGGTATCTTTCGTCTCTTTTTTTAACCGATACAGTATTTGATCTTATTTATATTGACACGAAATGCCAATAAAAGCGCAGTAAAAGTATAAATTTTATTAACACGGTTATGTTAGCAGTCATGGTCGAGTGGTCTCATTCCCGGACTTTAGACTATGATATTTCTTTAAGGAAATGCGCTTTGGAGAAGGTATATATGATAAAGCTTTGGATTCGAAAATCAAAAAAAGTATTATAAATCTATCATATAACATCATTCAGATGTTCATAAGACAGAATTACTCCGTGAGACATCAGTATTTATATTTTGAATGTTGTCTTACATATTTGCATTAGGGCTTCAAACTTCTTACAATTGTCTCAAAATTACAAAACTGCCAAAGTGGCATCACAGTTTTGAGAATTGTCATTAATATTAAGAAAGGAGTAAAGGCTTTATCCAAAAAGATATTTTGCTAAAAGATGTATTTAATAAAGGTGTTAATGTGTAAAAAAATCTCTAATCCTTATCTATTTTGTCCAAAAACTATGTTTAAAGTGGCTACCTTATATCAACATTGTCGATTTTGTCAACTTTATGACATCACAAGCAATCGTTTTGCACTAATGTGTCAGGACTATATAATTACTTGTTCATTTATCAATGAAATCAGCAAAATTATTTATTTTCGGAGAATAAGGGGGCCAAACAATCACCTGCTCTTATCACAACTGTCCTGTTAATTTAATTTATTTTTCAAAATCGCCATACATGTGCTATTCGATTCTGAGAGGTACAAACGTAAGTTATATATATACAGTAAAATTGGTAACGTTAATGTTATAATAAGTTTTATGTTCTCAACTTAGGCTAACTTCACTCGACAGGGGATTCTCGAAAAATTAATGACTCTAAAGTTAGAACAATAAGCATCTGTAAAAGAAAATCTGGAATCAAAATTTTGCAAGCGTTACCAATAATTCAACATAAATTTAATTACATTGTATATTATGATATAAGAAATCTCCAAAGTTAAGTACATGAGCAACTAAAAATAACTTAATACTAAATAATATTTTAAGTGATTTCGCTCACACTTTGAAATCGAATTGGTATTTAAAAAAAAACCACGGTAGACTTTTAAGGGTGGTAGGATAGAGAGCCAACAGAAACATTTACATAAAAAAGATTTTGCATATCTGTTGTTCTCATTTTATTGTTTTGTTGCTGGGCAAAAATAAGAGTAAACAAACAGGTCCATATGTTGCCCTCTAGATGTCTTTTGGTTATTTTTAATCGTCGGGTTGCTGTTGCATTAACTCGCATTCCCCACATCTAGATAATGATATCCAAAGTTATATTTGGCAGTTAACAGAATCCATGGTTGACATCTAAACAATAAGCGGATATTATTTGTATAAAAAAAGATGTGTTCACTTAATTTATCCATACTTGCTCTTATTGCATTTGTAGTTTGCATGGTGTAGAAGTGTCACTGTATAAAACATGTATTTCTTTATTTCAATAGATACTTGACAGATAATAAAGGCATATTTATAAATGTGCTAAAAACATGGTTTTCAAATACTTTTATTTTCTATATATTGATACCAATAATAGACACGTGAGGAAAATGATGATGGGTGACTTTATAACGTTCAGCGTTAAATTAAATTAAAAAATAAGGACATCTGGTATGATTGCTAATGAGAAAACTATCCACCAGGGACCAAATGACGTTGATGGAATCAACTATAGTTCACCGCACGCCCTTCAACAATGATCAAATCCCATACCGAATAACAAGCTATAAGAGACATGGCACAATGTAAAACAATGCAAACAAGAAAAACAACGGTCTGATTTATAATAAAACAATAAACAAAAAAAACATGACAGACAGCAACAAACGACAATGAACCACTGGATTGTTACTCCTACGTCGTTCGGGTCAAGTAGGGTTACCCGAGCCGTGCAGATTAAATGACATATACCGACTTGCTTGGTCAATAACTATTATAACGTAATCGACAAAAATATAGGAAATATATGTAGGAAAATATATATATAAAAAGGATGGCGTATAATAAATATCAAATTGTAAAAATAATTGAATAAAGCGAATCTTATTGAAAACAATGAAATTTGGTTTTGAAAAAAAAAAAGAAATCAATCAGAAACTATTTCCTGGAAAGATGTGTAAGAGGACTTAACAGCAAGAATTTTTGGTTAACATTCAAGCCATTCTCGACTAATAAAGGGTCACATTTTTCACACTTTTCTGTCAGTGTTTCGAAAATGATACATATGACAATCACCTTTATAAAAAATAGTAGAAGACTGGAAAAAAGGCTTCATATCAACATATTAAATATGTAGTGGCAATATTAATAGATTTGTCCAAGGCTTTCGATTGCCTACCCAATAACCTTCTCTTGCTAAAAATAATTTGTTTGTCTCCCCCTCATCTCTTAATCTTTAGTAAAGTTATTTAAAAAAAGAGAGGCGAAAGTTACCAAAGGGACATTCGAACTCATAAGTCGAAAATAGACTGACAACGCCATGATAAAAAAAGAAGACAAAGACCAAAATACAAACAGTATACAAAACACAGCTTTATTTTTTAACTATATAATAGAAAAAAAGTGTGTTGAAGTATGTTCTCATTCCCGTTATTGTGAATCAATGTTTAAAGGGTTGCCACAAGGATCTATAAATGGACATTTTATTCGGAATCCGAGCCGACCAGTATTTACTCCTTCTCCTAAATGTCGCGAACCAGTAGGCGGATCAGCGGTAATAAAAATTTTAAAGTATTTGTTTGGACCCGACTGGGGATCGAACCCATGACCTCCCGCACTCGATGAGATAAAAATGGTCTGCCTTGAAAAGGCCAATATTAAAGACACATACGGATATAATAAAATGTTGGAACATTTCTAAGGAA